ATGGCATCCTTGCCTTGGTTGGGGTGAATTGATTAAACTTCATGGCATCCTTGCCTTGGTTGGGGTGAATTGATTAAACTTCATGGCATTCTTGCCTTGGTTAGGGTGGATTGATTATACTTAGTGACATCCTTGCCTTGGTAGGGGTGGATTGATTTAAAAAAAAAAAAAAAAAAAAAAAAAAAAGTATATATTGGGATTTGTATAGTTCTACCCCAATATAATGTTGGTGCATTGCTCTCTCACTCACTAATAACGTGCCCTGATCAAACTGGGTTCCATGAGTAGATAGGTTTGCTTATTGTCCTGTTCACATTTCACTCTGTAATCCACTACTTCGAATGGCTCTTGAGCCTTGTACATAAGTAAAAAAAAAAATATTTCCACTGAGTCCAAGTGCATACTGTTCAGTCTAGGGATTGAACACAAAATTACTATATCACCAAATTCTATATGAAAATACAATATCTGTAGACATGATCAGCAGAATGAAAACACCACCTTGTAGAAAGAGTATACGGTTCCGGTTACTGTAAATAATTGAGTGTGTGTACCATCTGTTAATGACAAAAATGTAGAGAGGCAAAAAGAAAGAATAAAAGGTGGAGCAAAAGGTTGGTTGAATAGATAGCAAATACAATAGGAGACCAAACTGAAGGGTTTCTGGTATGATAGAATAGTATGGAATTTAAAAGGTTACAGGTTGTGATGGATTGTAAATGTGTGCATGTTCACATATGATAAACAATTAAGAAGTAGCATAGAAAAACTTACTTTCTACCACAGATTGTTTATTCTCATTTTTTTTTTTTATATAAACTGTAGTGAAACAGTTCTCATCATCTCTTGTGGTATGTCCCTTTTCTTTTTGGTCCAGGAGTTAGGGTAAGTAAATATAAGCATTATTATAATGATCAAACTCAAGTTAGCCTTGCCTAGAGTTGGAACGACCAAAGAAAAGGTTGATTTACTTCATAGATGAAAGTTTTGGAAGACCCATATGAACACCATGCATTGGAAAGTGAAAAGAGTTCAGTTGTCAGTGAACCTGGGAAACAAACATGCACTGGAGGGGCTGTCCTTTTTCCATTTCTGCTATGTCTGGGAGCAAGGAGGAGAAAGATAATGAGGCAAGAAAATGTTTGTCTTCTTATAGACTTAACCTGTGCTGCCTAATTGCATTTGCAGAAACCAAGTGGGGTAATAACATTTCCTGTTCCTGAGCATCATGCGAAAATGCATTTTTGTTTAATTTTTTTTTTTTATTATTTATTAATATTTTATTTATTTATTTATTTTCATTTTCTTGCAATTGTAAGGGGTTTCATGGGCAAAGGTTTTGATAGTATTAAAGTCTCCCTTTTTTTATAGCCCCCCCACCAAAAAAAAAAAACAAAAAAACACAACTAAAAATATCTCTTGAGTTTTCTATACACAGATGACATGTCTGGTAGGCTACTGTTTGCTTAAATACCATAGACACCCTTCACTTTGATAGTGTAACTCCATAATACTGTCATATTAAATATAAATAAGAAAGTTGGTTTTACATGCCAACAAATAAAGTAGCTTATCTTTTATTTTTGTTTTTCATGCATTCTACTTACAAAGAAGTCCCTGCCAAAAACATCAGTTTTAAAATTATTTTAAAAGCCTTTTCATCTTTATGATTCTTCTTAGATACAGCCTGAAATAGATAACTGTTAGCGTTCTGTTTGTACTCTTTCATTGAAACAATAGATCATGGCCAGTAGCATCAACAACAGTAGATACCTACAAGGAAGCTAGTATCTATACTATTATTTAGTTTGTGTAGATAACTGAAATTTTTCTACCCAGGATAAGAGTGTGGTATCTGCTTGATCCCCATGGAATCTGTTAGGCATTCTGACCCAGAATCTCTTCTGATATTCTACTTGTTGGTGTATAGGACGTTTATGGATTTTTTTTAAATAAAAAATAGCTGGAAGTAAAATTGTTTCTTTCTTTTTTCTTTCATCTTCAATCTTTTCCGTTTCTTTTCATTAATGAATCTTTCATTTCATTATTACTTTATATTCTAATACAAGTTCTTGGTCTTTTTTTCCTTCTAAATTAAAATAGAAATTGTTATATTTTTTCTATTTTGAGAAAAAGAATAGCCCACCTGACTCTTATCTTTCATCCTTCAGGGCGTAAAATATTGCCTTTTATAAATTTAGTCAATCTTTCTTTCGTTTAACAGATTTGGTTAGAAAATCCTTCTTTCAAAATTTGTTTCTTTAATTCGTTCCTTCTTTTTTTTAATTTTAAATAAAATTTCCCCAATAATATTTCTTTTTTTGTTCTTCTTTCTTATTTATTTAATTTTAATAATTCTTTGATATTCCTTCTTTCTTAACAATAATAATTCTTTCTTTTGTCAAATATTATTTCTTTCTTCCTTCTTTTTCTTTCATTTGAAAATTGTTTCTTTTCTTTCTTTCTTTTTCGTTCTTTCTTTCTTTTCGTTCTTTATTTTTTTGAATGGCTCCTTATTTATTCGCTTTCTTTTCAACTATTTGTATTCTTTCATTTCTTCGTCTATTTTTCTTTTTTTCAGTCTTTCTTTTTTTACTCTTTAGCAAAAATTCCTTCTAAATATGTAATTGTCTTTCTTCGTTTTCATTTCTTCTTTCGTATAAAATTTCTTTCTTTGACAGTTTAAAAAAGTTTTTCCTTCTTTAACCTTTGAGAATCCTTTTTTGTTATGATTCCTTCTTTCTTTCAATCAATAATCTTTCCTAAACAAAACAATGCGTTTAACTAGAATTTCATCTATTACTGATTGTGAGAGAGAATTTGAGAAAATGATAACAATAAATTCAACAGGAATTAAGAAGCCAGACAATAACGATTGACATTGCATTTAAATCTTTGGAGATCAACGTTGACTGGAAAATAAGAAACTGGAAGAGTTCTGCAAGTGAGAAGTAAAAGGAAAAAAAAAAAAACTGTCAGCATAGAACTTCAACTGTAAAAAAAATAAAATGAGACCTTACTGCTAATCTAGTACTGTACTTAAATTCATAAAGTCAAAATGTCCATCTGAATAATTATCATGAAATTTATAGAAAAGGCACAGGGAACCTATATTATGCTTCTGAGTTGAAATTAGTTTTGTATTCTGACAAGTACATAATAATAATAATAATAATAATAATAGCAAAAATGTGGCACATGGGAAAATCAACAATTCCTGTTGTAGTTGGAGCCCTCGGATTGGTTGAAAAAGTTTCCAGTAGACTAATTGAAGGGATTCCTGGAAGTCCATGCCTTAAAGAAATACAAAAAATTGTTCTCACGAGTACAGCCCACAATTTATAAAGGGCTTTATCTATGTAAAATATGTTTGTGTGTGTGTTTTTTTTTTTTTAATTTTTTTTTTTCTCTAATTGGTCATTGGAAAATATCATGATGCCATTTTTAACATTAAGTCTGTAGGTGGGACCTGGAAAAAATGTATATGTACCAGAAATCAAAGGAAATAAAAAATAATAATAATGAGTAGGGAAGGAATTTTGAAAAATGGAGAGAAAAATAAAAGGGTATAAAGTATGTGTACTGGAGAATTACCTCGGCGGTCTAAGAGATCTAGAATAATGTAACCTAAATGTGCATATAGGTCAAAGGAATTGCTAGCAAGTCAAACCGTCCAAGCATCGGCACTGGAATGACAAAGCGCATGTGTCTTTGAGTTAGATCTAGGCTGGCAGTGTGCTCAATATGTAAATTCTCTGGTTTGTCAAGAACGTATAAAAAGGCAAGTGTTTATTGAAAAGTCAGTTGGTGTTTGCGCTCAACGCAGGTCTGTTGCCAGCTATATGTTTTTGAAACAATAATGTTGCCAGCTATCCATTTTTGGAACCATAATGTTGCCAGCTGTATGTTTTTGAAACAATAATGTTGCCAGCTGTACATTTTTGAAACGATAATGTTGCCAGCTATCCGTTTTTGGAACCATAATGTTGCCAGCTGTATGTTTTTGAAACAATAATGTTGCCAGCTGTACGTTTTTGAAACAATAATGTTGCCAGCTGTACGTTTTTGAAACAATAATGTTGCCAGCTATACGTTTTTGAAACAATAATGTTGCCAGCTATACGTTTTTGAAACAATAATGTTGCCAGCTATAAGTTTTTTTGTAAAAAATAATGTTGCCCGTTATACGTTTTTGACTTTTAAAGTCACTCAAAATCATTTTCGGCATAAAGTGACCACTAAGGTTGAGATGCCGTTAAACAAAACAATCAACAATCAAATGGAAATTCTTGACTTACACAAAAAATACCTAGGATTATTTTGCAGTGTGCAAGCAAATAAGCTCTAGCTTGCTAAAAATGTTCCATACAAAATAGGCATTTAAAATTCATATATTTGGCATATATATATAAAATGGATTTGGCATTAAATAACCCACAGTGGTTGATATGCCATAAAACCCAAACAAACAAACAATCAACGCAGGTCATGTCAGTGCGTACTGAACCGGAATCCATTGCGAGTTTGTTTCCAGTATCTGTTACAGAATCCCAGGTTTCCTGCTACAGTATGAAAGATAAAGAGTTATAAAGCAAAAACAAATGAAAACAAACAAAAAAAGTGGAAAAATATTGTCTAAGATCGTTTTGGTCCTCCATATAATTTCAGCATGTGCTACATTTAAGCTATGCTTAGAACATCACCATATAGAAAGACTGTTCACACAACATAAGCATGAAAAATAGCATTACAAATCAATAGTATTATAAATCAATAATACATCTTATAATATGGCATTATCATTGATAAGCAGACTGTTGATGATTGCTGTTAAAAACACACCAATTGAACATTGTAAATTGTTCTCCCTACATCCGTTAGTCTCTTCAGATATAAATAGGAGTCATTACTTTCTAAGTATTCCCTCATAATTCAGCCTACATGTCATTACAAGTTGTGGAATATATTTTCTGACTGTTGAATATCAGAATGAAATATATTCCTGTACGATCACTGTAGTTAAGCAATGCCAAGCCTGGTAAGTACCTAAATGGGTTACCCCTTGGGAATACCAGGTGCTGTAAGCTTCTACAGTGCAATGGACAATGGCTTAGAATTGTTAATTGGAAAGCTGAGTTCCAATTCCCATTGGGTTCGTTATATTCACTTATGCACAAATACCCTTGGGAAAGGTAAGAATCCACCTCTTCTCCCCCTAGCTCTGGGTTAATTATCAGGACTTGTATCACTAAAGTATTATTTCCAAAATATAAAATCTTACAATCTAAAAATATTTTCTGGATTTAAATAACCTGCAAAGGGTTGATAAGCCATAAAAATGAATGAATCAATCATCTTGACTATAAGTTTAAATTTTAAATGTTTTATTAAGCAGGTCTGCATTACTTGAGCATTTCTTTTAGTGTATATATTTTCTTATATTTTCCTTACCCACCTTGTGTGTGTATGTATGTGTGTATATGTATATATATATATATATATATATATATATATATATATATATATATGATGGACTCTTCTGTTTGGTACAGCATATGAGGTTCCAATGACCACGAACTAATATCTGCATGCCTATGACCGGCATATCTTTTTGAGACCAGCCTTGAGAATTGCACAAAAGTTTTTATATATATATATATATAAAAGGGTGGTGTAATGGTTAAGCAAGCTTGTCTAACTAGAACAATTATGACTGTGTAGTCAGTTCGATCCTCACTGGGTGATCCATACTTTCAACCTTGTGCCACATCTACACTTGGAAAATCACTATATATATATATATATATATATATATATATATATATTAATACAAGTAAAATGTTTGTCACTTAGTTAATTGATATTACCTTCAGTATCCTGACTCCAGAGTTTTGTTAACGGATGGTCTGGGAATCACCCATCCACTCATCAGGGGTTATCAGCATTATTACATTAATAAAAGCATTATATAGTCTGAAGAAATCCTGTTGAAGGATGAAACATGTTGTTTTAACCTAGGGAAGGTTACTGAATAGAATAATCACATGATGTTTTTTTTTTTTTTTTTTTTTTTTTAAATTTACAGATTCAGAAAGGCAAGAAGCCACCAGCATGCAAGGGGTTATAGAGGATTTGGAGCAAGAGCAGATAGGAATGATAGAGGAAAGGATGAGGAGAAAGATAGTGGATAGATCAAGGCAACTGAAGATGTCGATTGACATTACATTTGAATAGTTGGAGATTATAGCTATCAGGAAAACAGGAATAGGGAAGTTACACAGGCGAGAGGTGCGAGATATGAAGCTATTGGGGTAGAAGAGGTGGCTACATTTAACAGTTTCAACAATGAAAGGGTGAGAGCGAAATGTTTGTAATGAACACTAATACTTAGGACACGAACAACACACATAAGATTTGCCAGCAGTGCATAGAAGTAGTAGTCAACTGCTAGAAGTGAGTCAAGTGAATTTCACAATGAATTTCCAACTGCAGACCAACATACAATATTTATTACTGTATTTATGTTAATGGAGACATACCCATTATCGTCCATAGATATGCTCTAACACATGTCATATGTGATTATTTTTTTTTTTCATTTTGTCATTCAGTTCCCTACCTTTCCCACAGATGCAACATTGCAAAACTATCACTATTTTAAATGTTCAGGCAGTTCCTCAGTACCATCAGTTCCAAAATTTACAGCTGGTACTCCCGAAGTCACATACCTAGGTTTGAATCATCTGCACTCTCTTCGTATTCCATTTGTAAGAAGGAAGTTCCACTCATACAGCTTCTTCTCAAGTATGACCACTTTGTGAAACAGACTCCCAAGTGGATGTTTCCCTGATAACTACAATCTTAGGTCAACCTTTATCTATCGTCATAATCTGCACTTAGTTCCTCCTCTTATATTCATACGATGACCTTATTCATTAACTCTCTACCTTGAGTGGTTCTTTAGCCTTGTATTGTGTAAACATTTAGTTAAAATAAATTAGTTTGATATATAGTGTTTATATATCATATTTGGCTTTACAAATCCTTATCCATCCTCCTCTGTGGGTATGAGACTCGGACACTCCTAGTTGAGGCAGGGAAAAAAATCCAGGAATTTGAGAACAAATGCTTGAAAAAGTTCCTCTGCATCTCCTACTGAGAGCATAAAGCCAATGAGTATGTATGAGGCAAGGTCAAAAATCTTGTGGGCCAACAGGAATCTCTCTTCCCCACTATTAAGTATCAGGAGATATTATTTGGCTATGTCACCCGGCAAATATACTGTGCAAGACTATCCTGTAAGGCACTGTTGAAGGTGGACGCAAGCAGGAACGGCAATGCAGAAACTGGTCAGATAACCTCAAAGAGTGAACAACGCCGAAACTTTGAGAAGTCACCAGATTGGGTCCCTGTCTTCGAAGATTGAAGAAGTCAAGAGACTGATGATATATTTTCCAATCCGCAACATTGTAACTATAACTTGATGTGTGGAAAAAAATAAGTAAATAAAAACAAAGAAATCATGAAAGAAAATTCGAGGTAAATACATTTTATCTAAATGCCATACTTTACAAACTTCATAACT